CCCTTCAAAGTATGATTTTTTAAATGTTGGCAATCAACCATTTCTTTAAAAGTGTGGGTCTGGGCTAATTGACATACTGCTACAGACTGAATTGTGTCCCTCCCCAAATTCATATGTTGAACTCCCAACCCCCAGTGTGACTGTATTTGGAGATAAGGCTTTTATGGAAGTAATTAAGGTTAAATGAGGTCATAAGGGTAGGGTCTTCCTCCAATGGGATTAGTGTCCTTATAAGAAGAGACATCAGGGAGGTCACTCTCTTTCTCCAGGAGCACAAAGAAGAGGTCATATGAGCACACAGGGAGAAGGCAGCCATCTGAAAGCCAGGAAGAGGGCCCTCACCGGAACCTGATCATGCTGGTACCCTGATCTTTGACTTCCAGCCCCCAGAACTGTAAGAAAATAAATTTCTGTTGTTTAAGCCACCCAGTCTATATAGTGTTTTGTTATGGCAGACCTAGCAGACTAATACACCTACTTATAAAGTTTTTATTGTTATACAAACAACACTGCGAAAGTTTGTAAATATCTTAAATGGCATTCAATAGAAAACTGTTTAAATAAATTGTGGCTCATCCATATAGTGAGAAACTATGCAGTCACACAAGAGAATGAGATATTTATTTACATACAGATATGGAAAGATCTCCAAAGTATAATTTTAAGTAGACAAAGCAAGGTGTAGAACAATATGCAGAGTGTGTTACTATCCGTGTATAAAAGGAAAGCAGGAGAAAAAATACTCATTTGCTTGATATGCATAAAATGCCTGTGGAAGGGGCTTCCCTGGTGGCGCAGTGGTTGAGAGTCCACCTGCCGATGCAGGGGACACGGGTTCGTGCCCCGGTCAGGGAAGATCCCACATGCCGCGGAGCGGCTGGGCCCTTGAGCCATGGCCGCTGAGCCTGTGCGTCCGGAGCCTGTGCTCCGCAATGGGAGAGGCCACAGCAGTGAGAGGCCCACATACCGCAAAAAAAAAAAAAAAAAGTCTGTGGAAGAATTTCCAATAAACATAACTTTAGTTGCCTGAGGCAACTAGGGGACAAGACTAGGAGGGAGACTCTTCATTGTATATCACTTAGTATATTTCAAATTTTGAGGGATATATAATGCATTATTAATTTAAAATTCATTTTTAAATGAAAGTTTTATCAATTTAGGGGGAACAAAACACATGCGTAGGCTCTATTTGGTCTGTAGGCTAATTGGTTGTACCTCTGGACTAAATTAAAGTGGTGGTAATTAGAATAAAAAGAAAGGAACTGATGCCAGATAGAAAGGGAATAAAAAACATAGCCCTTGGCAACCAAGTAGACAGGGAAACTGAGGAAGAGAGTTGATGCCAGCATTTTGAGCATGGAATATGGGAACCACAACAACGATGTTTCCCCATTTCTTACTACACTATCATGTATTCTTCTAAGTGCTTTACAAAATTAGCACATTTATTCCTTACTGCAACCCTATGAGGTAGTTTCTATTATTATCCTCAGTGCAAAGATGAAAAAACTCAAGTTCAGAGTTTAAATGACTTCACCAAGATTATGATGATGGTAAATTGCGAGACCAGGTAAATGAAAAAGAAGTCTTGAATGGAGAGGTGGGGGAATAGTCTAGGGGTAATGATGGGTTCTCTTTTAGAAATGATGAGTTTGAGGTTACAACAAAATATCAAAATGCTAGTGATTTGATACCTGGATTGGTATCAAATACCTGGATTTGGCTATAGAGTTAAGTTATAACTCCTTAATTTAAAGTGTTTAATACTTCCAGAGTTTGCTTTGCCCACATTACACCTATTTTGTCTAAGTACACAGATATCTTTAATTTTTTATACAAAGCGTCAGTCTTGTTACAGACTTTTAAATCCAGCTTCCTGTCTCACTGAATTACCTTCCTTTTTTCCAAAAACCAAACAATGTTTAAATAAAATAAACTAAGTAACAAAATGATGAGACCCTCCACTTAAAAAATACATATTAGAAATACATATAAAACATACATTATAAATAATGTATGTTTTACTTACATTATTTATAACCACAAATACTGTATTATTTTAGATGTGAGAAAACTGAGGCTAGATGATAAAGCTGAGTTGGGGACAATAAATACAACAAAAACCCAACTTCAGGTATACAACCTGAATTGAACACATTATTATATGAGAATAAGAAAGTACATCAGACAAGGGTTCACATCATCTTTGGATAAACTAATGAACCTTATATGATAATGTTATTCATTCACACTCTACTTAGTAATGAGATGACAACTGTACTAGATTATCATCTAGGTCAATCATCCCAATCAAGTTTTCCTTCACTGACAAAAACATGACATTTTGGAGCTAAATCTTAGAAGATCATCTATAATATATGTACCCCGTGTTTACATGGGAAAGTTAATTGGGTAAGTACTTTGAAGATACAATCATACTAATATCCTCAAGCACCTTTCTGTCTAGAAAGGGGGTAAGGGCTTAGATATGTACAGAAATGACCAAAATACAGGGAAGAGAGTTGTGTAGGTTCCAGATAATGTGGGTAAAGTGATATGGAAACTCAAAAGTTTATTTCTATATGCAAGGATCAGGAAAATTTTCATACAAATGGCATTTGATTTGGGATTAATAATGAGAGGAATATTATAAATACTGTTTTAAGGAAAAAATCATAAAAAGAAGTACATTACAAAGCAGTTCATTTATAAGTATCCACTGAGCAGAACAGACAGTGATGTACAATTTCTAAGGAATAGCTGAGGAGATAAGGAAAGCTTTATGTGGGGGCTAAGGACTAAAATAGGACTTGAAGGAAGATTGAGGTTTAAATGGGGGGTGGGCAAAAAGAAGTCATTTAAGATGGAGGAATAGAAAATGAGTTTTTAACAATTTTATCAGTGCCTGACACAGTATGCCAACACATATTTGCTAAATGAATTATATATCCAAAGGCAATCTTATTATTCATCAGTGTAAGTGACACAATAAACTAGAACTGACTCAAGGCAAGTGTGAATATATAAATGTGTTACATAATAATAATGCCCCTGCCAGAATGAGAAAAGGTTGATCTCCCTCACCACCAGATACACACAATCTGGAGAGATGAAAGATGACTAGACTAGGCTTGGTGACTTGGTTATTGGAATTTAATTAACTGAACCAAGGGCCCCATTTCAGAAATGCATATACTAGGATGATAGGGGTTGGAGGGAGTTGAAGCAATGGTGGTGGTAATCTAGTTCATGTTTTTTCCCCAGTTTTCTTTCTGATGTATCCTGAAAGCCCTAATGAGAGGTACCTATGGCTCCCCAGAGCTCTGAAAATAGAGCCATTAACTAGTCTGGTCTTGAGGATGGACTAGATTCACCTATCACTTTTACTTTTGAGTTTATATTTCTTCCCTTCCTATGTTTTCTGCCTGTCTGCCCCCCAAACCAACCTGAAGACACTGTTCCCAGCCCATTCTCTGTGTTCCCAACAGTCACCAAAAATTAAAAGCCTCCATATATAAGGGTCCCCCCCAAAAATCTGAAGAATGGGATGAGGTCATTTGTAAGTCACTGATTTCTGTTGTCCAAAGGTCCTGTTGGTTATATCATCCTAGTTAAGTTGTCCAAAGAATGAGGGGAAAGGCAGGCTAGTGTCCCTTTCTCTCAGAGGTGCTAAAGTCCAGTGGGAACAATGTTAAATCAGTAGCAAGCAAAACCTATGTTCTAGCTTCAGACTTTGGGCAAGCTAATTCAATATTCCAAGGTCTCCTTTCACCCCCTGGGAGGTGTTTTAAGGACAGCAAAACACTAATTCTATCAGTGAAGCTCCAAAGAAAGAGTCTCGAACAGAGTAGGAGAAGGAAGTGAAACTAAGATATACATGGAATGGCAGCCTCTGTCACATACACTAAGGTATTTAATCTACCCAAATATCTTTAAGATTATTAATCCACATTCTCTAGTGGAGAAAAGCAATGCCTAGGATCACACGGCTAGTAAGGGGTGGCATTAGGATTTCAAAGCAGATCTGCCTGTTACCCCAACCATCATAGTCTCCATCAGCTTCAAATCCAAATTTGGAGATTACTCTTTGCCTAGTTATTATCACATTGAGTGCCATCAGACTGCTGCTTAATAAACGCTTTTCTTTACAATGTAGACAGAACGAAAGGAAAGAAAGGATCGTTCCCTTGAACATCTGTTTGTATTTATTTTTCTAAAGAATAAGTTTTATTTATTTTGTGATTTATTTTTCCCCAAATTCTTAGAGTTAAACATAAAAAGCCCACAAAAAGGCAGCTCTTCTAAGTACCATTGCAAATCGATACTCTCCAGCAATCCCAGCAATTCGGCCCAATCTTCCACCTACACGGACAAACCAACCGCGTTAGCCACGTTTTAAAGAGCCAGGGCAGGGCCTATGCTTTCTCCTCCAACCATGCCCAGCCCCTCCTTAAAGAGCCGGCACGCCCAAAGCAGCTCCTCCCTGGCGGCTGCCTTCAGGGCCTCGCCTTTCAATAGCCTCGGCTCAAACCTTAAGCCCCTGCTCTTCTTCCTTTTAGAAGCATATCTAGGTGCCTACTACTATTTAGGGGGGTTACCTTGGAACGTTGGCCTTCCGAATCCCATTCTCTCTGGTAGCAACTTTGGCTGTGTGGGGTTAAGTCAAGACAAAGCTTACCCCTGAAGGAAAAATGAAAGCACCAAACCAGGGCGGATTAAATTAAACAAATCCATCCATTCGTGCCCCTCTTCATTTCTCCTACGAGGCTCCCCAAAGTACTCCTCCCATTCCGAACCCCTCTTTGCTCAACCCTTAAGCAAAGTCATTTTCCCTTGAGTTTCATTTGATTCCACATAATGTTTGCACCCTTCTCTCTCCACCGCCCCCGCCGCACTCCCTCTACTAAAACCTATAGTAGTGAGGAGTGGGGGTGGGATGGGGGATAGAATCTAGAGGGAGGAGATGGGATTGGGTGGGTTCTAATTCCGGAGTCACTTACCGCCCTTGTCACTAGCTGGAGACTCCTGAAGTGTCCGGAGCTCATGCGGTCCTCTGAGAGGCTCATACTCCTGATCGCAAGACAGCTGTTTCCCTCACACCCGCCCCTGTCTGACAGCGCGCCAAGCGGCTCGCTCTTGCCTTCTCTTTCTCGGCCCCCCACCTCCTCTTTTTCTCCTGGCTGGAAATGAGGAGGAGGGCCAGAGCCGACAGAGTCGATTCAGACCCAGCTAGACCACCCTCGGAACAAGGGAAACAAAGCTCTCAAGTATCCAACCCCAAATTGGGGAGCCAGAAAAACCGACTTCCTAAAAAGTATCTTCCCCTTGCTGCAATGCTCTTTTAGCTCTTTTCCTCGGCTAAAAATAAAGTGGGTTCGCTGGGCCCAAGTGGCCAAGGTTGAGGATCCTCCATTCCCCTTTCACCTCTACCAATTCAGTTCCGGCCAAACCCACTCTCCACCCATCCTCTGAACTCCACACACCCTTGTGGAGAGTGCCGGGGCTAAGAGCTAAGAAAACCAGCCCAAACCCCAAAGCACTACTTGAATACAAAGTTGAGGCGGAGGACTCCTTCAAGACAGGAACCCAGGAGAATATACCACAAAAGGATCCCTTTACTGCCGTTGTTGCTGCTGCACACTCCAAAGCCTTCCTAAAAAGAAAGAAGGGAGGGGCAAATGCCTACGATTGGTGGAAACACATAAGGGCACCCCAGTCTAGGACAGAGGCTTCAGCAAAAAACGTCAAGAACTTGTGCGGGTACTCTAGAGCGAGGTTTCTTGGGTGCACCTACCTGCCCCACTGGGGACCTCACGTTCATGAGGGTCAGTACGGACAGTGCTAGCTGGGCAACCCGAGTGGGTGGGGTGACTTGCCTCCTGCCCGGCTAGAACCAGAGAAGTGGTGTGACTATCCTGAGGGTGGAGTTACTTAAAAGGGACAGGCGGACACTAGAGGAGAGTGAAGAGTGGAAGGAGGTGGAGAAGGGGGGCGCTGAGACCAAGGAGGGAGAAGGGAGGGGGTGGGGCGGGGCCCAGTGTGGAGAGCTCTGGTCTTGTCCCTGGCGGCAGTCTCCAGAAGCAGCAGGTACAACTCAAACAAATTCAGTTCCTTATTCTTAAAGAGGCTTGCAAGCACACCGTTTGGTCACCTATCCATTTGCGTGTTAAGCTGAGGGAGGGTGAAAGGGATGTGGGAATTGGGGGTGGGGGCTGTATAGGAAGGGAGGAATAGGGAAGGGGAAAAGCAAGAAAGCTGGCAACTGAAAAATATTTACAGTCCTAGCTCTGCATGGTAACACTGTGACACTAGCAAGGACAACGAAGACACAGTATCTTCTCAGGGAGGAGACTAAGAGCAAAGGAGAATGGAACTGGGGGCATTTTCTAGCAAGATATAAGGGAAGAAGGTGAGGGTGAAAGGGTGGGAGGGGAACAAGGAGGGGATGAAGGAACTGTGAATACAGATTCTTTTTAGTCTCCCAAATACCAGACCTCTAAGAATAGAGTCTTCAAACCCCTGAGATGGCCTCTCTTCCAGGCATTGTGGAAGATCCCTGCAGAGCTGAATCCATAGCAAATCAGCCACATTTCCAGGATTTCTTTGCCCTTGCTTGAAAGTCCCTCTCTAAACCATTTAATAGGAGGCCAGGAAGTCACAGGCAACCACAGGCCTTTTTCAGTGCCTCTTTGCTACCACAGTTCTTTTAAAGGGGAGGAAAAAAGAGAGAAGAAACAAAGAAGAGAGAGGGAGGGAGCAGAGAGACAGGAGAAATAATAATAGCTACTGTGTATTCAGCACCTAATATGGGCAAGTCACTAGGCCAGGTGTTTTTACATTCATCATTTCTCATTTATTCCTGATAACAACCCTGGAGAATAGGTACTATTATATTCTCCAAGCCCCTCCTTTATTTTTTTGGCCGCCAGGGAATTCCCAAGCCCCCTTTTAAAAATAAGAAAACTGAGGTTCACAGCCCAGTACTTCCCAACACATATATGCCCACTCGCTTGATATTGCTGCCAGAATCTCTAATCGTCTCATCTCTTCTTATTCCTCCACAAACTCGGTTATTCCTCCTGTAGTTCACCTGAATGACATCACCATGTACCCCAACATCCAAGGCAACACTCTGGGACTCATCCTTTAATCTGCTGTGATATGGACCCTGCCTACCTCTCAGGCAGCAGAGCTTTTGCTGATTTCCTGGGCCTTACCTGTATTAAATATCCCTGAGAATGCCAGGTTATTTCCATCCTCTATGCTTTGGCTCACTTTTCTTTCTCTTTCTCAACTGGGCTAAGCTCTCTGTCTACCTCCTTGAAAGGACTAATTCAAGATCATCTCCCCTCCTTACTTGATTCCTTCAGGCAGAACTAACCATCGCTTCCTCTGTGCCCTTCTCTACCTCAGGGAACATATTTGTTGATATAAGTGCTTGCCCATACTAGACTATAAAGTCCCTGAAGTTAGGCACAAGATGTTATCATCTCTGTAACCTGAGTGCCAGGTATTATTATTAACAATAATAATAGTTATTGACCATTAACTATGTGCCAAACTGTTCTAAGCCATATGTGTATACATATATACACTTATTGAGTGTATATATATATATATATATATGTTTTATATATCACAGCTAATTGCAAAGGCAGGACTTTTCCTTTATATTCTTTGCCACTTGACACATCAATAATCAGCAAGTGGCCATGTAAGTCACAGGAAAGTGTATGGGGGAACACGTATGGAGAAGTAGAAATTGAGATCAGTTTCCCTCTCCTTCAAGGAAGCAACACAGACTCTCCTTTGTATTAGCTTCCTTAAGAAATAAACCAAACAGCGATCTGCAATACCTTCAACTCCTTCCATCAAACCCGAAGGCTTGAGACTGCCTGCTTGAAGTAGCAGCCTGTGCTTTCCTCTTTATAACCAGAGTCAGATGAGGGATGTAAGAGTTAAATTAAGCAGGGACCCAATGAACAACAGCTAAGAAATATGCAGATACCGCAGGTGTCAGGGCCCAAGAAACACTGTTTTTCCCTTTCCCTCTTCCTCCTCTTCATCCTCCTGCCTCTCCTCTTCCTTTTCTTGAAAGCCAGCTGACAAACTAGTAGGGTGGAGCCCAGTCTGAGGGCTGGAGGGAGGGGAGGAAAAGCCTCAGTAAGAGGACTCCACCCTCCCTGCTCCCAGTAGAACAACAACAAAAGAGAAGTCTTGGGGAGCTGGGGCTGAGAGAAAGGTGGGGTAGAATAGGGTGAAGTGAGGAAGGGAAGGGAGAGCATGGGGAGATAGGGGCCCAACAGTGTAGAGCTGGTCTGGGGAAATCAAGTTGTATATAAACAGAAAAGCCTGCATTCTTAAGTCACTGTTGTTCATGGAACAACAAAAGTGTAGCTGAAAGTAGCGCATAGCTCAGATCTAATAGGAAAAATATTGCCCTCCTCACCCACTTTCTTCTTTTTCTGCAGTTCCCCAGAGGGAATATTCCCCCTGTGAGGTCAGCTAAAAGGAGACCTTTTGCCCCTCTGCTAATGTTGAACAAGTGTTAAGTTCCTCACACATGCCAGAAGACAGTGCTAAGTTCTGCCAGCAAAGGATAAGGATATTTTAGAGAAGGAAATTCAGTTAGCTGAGAAGAGAAAACCTGGAAAGAGATTGTGGGAGAAAAACAATGACTTAGCTTACAAACTGTACAACCTTGGGCAAATGACCTCACTTCTCTAAAAGTAAGTTTCCTCACCTATTTCTTTTAAAGGTATACTGCTAGTACTTCTCAGAATTGTCAAAAGATTTAAAAAGATGCAGAGGTGGCTTTACAGTGAAATTAATGAAGTTTGAGCTTCGAGGCCCCTCATTTGAATGGCCTTTCCAAGGCACTGAGAGTGATCAAACTGTGTTTTTCTTAAAGAGGATCCCCAATGTTGTATAAGCTTCAGGCCCCACAAGTCCTGGATCTGCCCCCAATGAGATTATAGCCTACAAAGCACAGTACCTCACACAAAGAAAGCACTCAAGATAGGATAACTATTATTCTTAGCAATGGCAGCTCTTAAATCTACTAGCTTTAGATTGTGTCCCTTTCTGGACACAGATATTGGGAACATGCCTCCATGTTTCCCATAACTCCCATACTTGTATATATGAATAACTTATAAAAATTAATAACTAAACTGCTTGCTTGAGACATTCAGAGGCATGACTAAATTCACTTTAGGAATGGCCAATGGGCCAGGAGCAGGTGACCAGGCTTTGAAATTCTCTTGGAAGAGCACCATCCTAGGCAAGCTCTAGCAGGCCTGCTACCATCCACGAGTTTAGTTGTACCTCAGGCTGCTAACTTTATGAGCAGAGCTTGACTAGGGGTTTGTATGTGTGTGTGGGGTGTGTGTGTGTGTGTGTGTGTGTGTGTGTGTGGACTTTTCACACTATTTAGACCATAGATGCTACCACACCTATAAATTGGAGGAGGGAAGAGGCTTTATAATCAACAACAAAGCCAAAGCAGAAAAACTGGGATCCTCAGCCTCATCTGCAGGAAAGGAATAACATCCTTGGCCTCGTCCCAAAAATGTATATTCCTGAGTCAGGGAAGGATTCTACTGAGTATACAAGAAAAAGACTTGCATTCTTGCTTTCATATTAAACAAATAAATATACAAGATTGTCAAAGGAAATGTATAAATAGAACAGGAACTTCTTTGTCATTGAGCTGGATTCAGAGAGGCACCAGGGCCCTGCAGCCCTCCCCCGCAAAGCAGACCCATGATTATCATCCTTGCATTACCACAAGTAGCTCTCACTTTCCTAACAGATGGGTTGTGTCCATCTACCACTGTCCCCCAAACCAGTGGGAGAATGGCTTTCACCCTAAAGCCTATTGTAGTTTTATCACTTCCCTGAGAAAGTAAGAGGGAGAGAAGAAAGAAGATGTGGAGTATGTATTCAGTGCTTTCTTAAAACCTTTCCACTAACATACCTATTGAGGTATTGCACCTTTATTCTTTCCTTCCTCTGCTCTTTGTTTGTCCAAATGGCCCTGTATTGTGGTAGCTCTTTCCTCTCAAGTTAATATCACAAATATAGTTGTAGCAGCCTACCATTAAGCCACAATGACAGGAC